CTCCTGAAGATCTGCAGAACAGTCTTCTGCCACAATGAGGCAATCATCGAAGAACTCTAGTTATGCTTACCCTTCCTGTGACGAATAGTTCGAATAGGGCAACTAACTCTCCACCCCTGTTACTATTAATGTTAATTATTTTGAGATGGATTTTTTCTTTCCATTGCTCTTTTGCCCACACGAACGAAAGGGCGAGTTCAAAGCAAAACTCGTAAGGAACATTGCTTGGAACGAGGTCCAGCAGATAAAATAGAAATGTGTTGTCGAGCCGGTATTGCATGCCTCTGAATTTGCTGAAAGCATCTGGTAGCCCCAGGGCCGAAAGGGTTAACCCTGAAGGAATTTCCTAAATCGAAAGCCTTGACGCAGATGGAGTACGCCATGTCGAGGAGTGACGCTTCCACTGATGTATTACAAGCACAGTTGGTTGCCACTGTGGTGTTGTAAGCACAAAAATATCTGTAGTAGACAATGGCTTAGAGAACAAAATGGCTAGCGGCTGAGGTTTTTGGTTTCCTCTGAACAGGTTGTGGTTGCGGCGTTTTTGTCTACCGGATGGGTGGTATTTGGGAACACCTCTTCCATGTTAACGCGACCAACTTTGACATCACTGCTTCCTTTCGCGGCTCTGCTCAGAAATCTTTGCTTTTCTGGGTTGCCTCATCTCCATTCGCATTGACGTCTGTAATGCGAAGCGGCGATTGGATGCATGGCGCATCCACTGGATTTATTCGCAAGCTACATCGCTAACTTTCTAATCACTTCGTCTATCTCCTACCGCTACTTGAAATCTTTAACGCTAACTCATGAATCCGTTCGTTGACTGAATCATATGGACATGACGACATGCGACATGTCTTACCAAATGCTGTATTTAGCTTTACCCAAGGATTCTTTGGAAAAAATAAATTGAGAGGGTAATGTTCAGGATTTTTTTCCAAACTGATAACAAACTTCCGGCAGTGATAAAACAAAAAGATGTGAGTACTCACGAAGCACGAATGCGTTTCTTGCCCCTAATAGCAAACATATACACGGAATTCTCGTCCTTCCATGAGGCAATACATTGGTATTGTCGAGCTGAAATGAACGAACTACTACAAATGGTTTTGAGAAGAATAGTGAATAGTGATTTTGAAGCCGTGTTAGCAATTCTGGGCTGCGAGCTTTTGTCGCTAAGATATTCATCTTTGCGTTTGGAATATTTTTGTTGTTTTCGGAAACCAACAAAGATCGCATGAAAACACCAAAAACAAATCGTGAACAGGGAAGAAAGAGAAAAAGAGAAAAGGACTACACATCGCTTGATTGCCGTCGTTTTCGATATATAATCCACATCGCGATTATTCAATTTAAAGGGCATTCCATCACTGAAGGTGGAGTTACAACTAGATGGCATCCCTTAGAAATAAGGCAGAGATGTTCAGTGGTGCGGGGTAAAAAAAAACTCTATAGAAACGGTCCAGAAGCTGAAAGTCGGGACCCGTTCCTTACCCGTTGATTTCACTGAAGCGACTCTCAGCGGTGCTGCCCTCTTCAACGCTAACGCTCTCTCTGCTAAACGGCTAGAGAGTTCGACAAGTGGTCAGCTGGTTGCACCGTGGAAAGGGCCATGCTGACCGCCGGGTGCTGCGTTGCTGCAATTTGCGTGTTGATTCGCACCCTTAATGTGGGATAAAACTAGTGAATTCAGCCCTGGTAGTTGATGGCTGAGCTACGGAATGATTGAAAGTGGAAAGAAATGCAAGAGAAATCATAGGAACGCTAAATTAAGGCTTAACCTACAGTAACGTGGGATGTGATACAGGTGGCGAGACAGGGCGATCAAAGAAGACAAACCACGCAAGAGAGCACTCCTTTCGAGCAAGCACACTGATCGCCCATCGAATCGACGCGGTGGGTGGGAAGCGCTGTAGCGATGGTCGATAGTTGCAGGTTCGTAAGATTATGTCCAAGTTCGCGCAATTTGGGCAACGAGCTTGGTACGGTCTCGGAAGTTACGGACGCCAACAATTACCCTCGCGATATTCTTGCTACTAGTGGAGCTAATCACGGGGTTTGCCTTGAGAAGTCCGCATGTTTTTCTATTTGGTGAGTTTCCCCTTCTTCGACATTCGACTTTATCGTGGAATCCTAATTTCAAGGCAAAATTCGAGATAAAGTAGGTGTGGAAAAGCGTCCAGTTATAAAGCTTGAGTTGAAGCTGGCCTGAAAAAAAGAAGGAAAGCAAAAGAAACCAGCGATTACGCTGCGCCCAGACCTTCCTCTTTTCAGCCGCATTTCACCTTGCAACGTGGAAAGGGGCGCGTTAAACGAGTTTTACGAACCTAACTCTAGTTGCCCCAGTGCCAATGACATAGAGCCGCGATGGAACGCTGCGTCAATGCCTCACGGTTTTCGAGCAGCGCCACGTTGTAACGAAAGCGGAGGGTGGGGCTTACAGGCGAAGGTGTGTATCGCGTTATCGGACGAGCTCCGTGCGCCTTTGTCGCATACTCTCAAGCCGTGAAAGAAGCGCGACATCAACGACTATCCGCCTGTCCTACTCCCCTGATGGACAGAGTGAGTGCTCCTAACCCCGGAGCGTGCCTTCAGTCCATTAAGCTTCCGTAAATGAGGGTGGCTTAAACGGAGGAATTCACGATTAGAGTGAAGGTCGAAGAAAGGGAAACTGACCTAGTTGAGGGACCTACGGACCTCTTGAGGGTGCGAACTGACGCGCAACTCGCATGGAAAAATTTGACCTCCGGCGACCTATCATGCGTCAAAGCTGGCGGGTCAGGCGATCTCCGCCCACCGATTGCCTGATCACTCGCCAACGTATCATTCACTCGCCGTAGTGAAGTGATTAGATAGCTGAGAGAGCGTAGTTTGAAGAGGGCACAGCGATGAGGGTCGCACCAATGCTCGAATCAACGGGCAAGGAAGGGGCAGCATTTCTTCGGGTTCTGGGCCATTTCTCATGGTTCTTCCTTCTTTCATATACCACTCACCATCCCTACATTAATTTGAAATGGGTTACTTTTCATCGTGAATTCGCCCTTTAAACGCGAAAGTCTCTTCGACTTTCGAGATTAAAGGAAGTAGTACGGGAAGGATTTTTCACATCTGCGAGAACCTGCTCCCCACAGAGCAATTAGCAGGCCGCCAAGGAGACGATGTGTGGCGCTTCCACTGCGAACAGTGCTGTGGTTGCTGAGCAGGACCATTGCACCCTCCGCCCCATGCGCCGCCCGCCCCCTGGTTTTGTTGATGATCTGGATGGACTGATTGCTGTTGGCTTTTTCATTTTGGATGATCTTTTCCCATCTAGCGGCTGTATCTTCCATCTTGCCCATGTTATGCCTTATCAATCGAACACTATGCTTGTTGCATGATGGCACTATCGGGGTTAACACGTCCGAACAACCTCAGTCTTTACCGTCGCTCATCCATGATCGAAAATGAAAGGCAGCTCAAAGGGGCACTATTTTTGCTTATTTTTGACGGATTTCTTTGCTTTTTTCGCGCACTGATGGTATCTTATTGAGGACCCCCTCGTCCCCTCCAAACCACATTTTTAAACCTAGCGTAACCGCTGCCTTTAAAAACAATACTTTGTATTTCAATGTATATTTTGTTTTCAAAGAACCAGCAGCTCACAGTCAAGATAACATCCGTTGAACAATGTGACGCATGATTTTCATTGTGCTCTGATTTTCGCAATCGACCGTGACATTATAACAGTCTTGAGTAACGTAAATCACGCGGAGTTTTGTATTTTCTGGATACAAGAACAGTTACAATAAACTCCATAATATTTATAATTACATTAAAACACAACATCCTATTTTTTCTGTATTTTTCCAGATTTTTAAAAGAGCAACCTCGAAAAGGTACCAGTCAGAATAATTTACTTCTGAAAAGTTGCAAGAAAATACCAAAATGTTACTTACCCTATAATTCCACACGGCGATGGAACTGCACTATTGATCACGGCAGCGGTCCACGGCCATTGGTAAATTCACTGTCCGAACTAAAAAAGCGCCTCATATATTACTAAATGACTGAGAAGTGAGGTATGGATCAGTATACAATATAGACAGAAGAATTATAATAAAAGTGTCTGAAAACGATGCAAGTATAGGCAGACTCGCTTTGGCAAAATAGATCGCAATCCGTCAGCTCTTAGCGTGGATTACGATCAATCTACAAGTCGTAGGGTCCTTATAAACTTTAAGAGTCACATTTGGAAAATAAAACTCGACATTCCAGCGCAACAAGATATTGGGCCGAACACGCTCTTGGAATTACTCCATCACTTTGCATGAAGGGAGACGCTCATTTTTCCCCTAGGTCACCTACATCTGCGCGAACATTGAACCTTAAGGCTAGGCTTAGACTCAGGTTTGTCGCAACAAATCAGAGACGCCTAATGTGAGTTGACTTGAACCTGACGGAAAGAGCTGATGCAAACCTTGTAGGGAAAACTTGGGTCCGCAGTTAAACCTATTGCAAGAAAATTAAATATGTATAATATAGGGGAGTGGTGTAGTGGCAAGGACGCACTTCCCACATACACGTTCTGGAGTTTGATCTTGGATTTGAATCTCGTCCTGGTCACCGAACCTTGGCATCCGCAAGTGATCGTTGGGCTGTACCAACATTCAGTATTTATGACACTGTGATTCTGAGTAGAATTAGCATGCGCGGCGCATCCAAAAGGGATTGGTCAGTGTCGGAAATCTATATTTGTTTTTATTACCGTATTGATAGTTATTTTTTTATTTGTACGTCTATAAAGACATGGCGTCAGTTGTGGCGGAAACACTGGGCACCGCCCATCAAGATATGGTAAAGAGAGCAATCAGGACCACATAATTTGCCAGTAAGCCTTTTGAAGCACAAAGCGATTTTCGCAGTTTTTCTTTCTGTTGGTGATTAGTTTCTGTAGTGGGAGGAACGTCGCACTAATGCTTACTTTGAACTTGTAATCCTTGAACAATAATATCCGCATACCTGCAGGCACTTGAGCTGGGATCTTCTTGAGGTGTGGTTGTTTTGAATTCGATGAGGCTTTCGCTTCGTGGAGCAAACCATAAACAGTGGTAGCCCAGAGGTTCTCCGCTAAAATGACTATAATTTGACCCCATTAAGTCCATTATGGTTAGACTGAGTTTTTTTTTATGAAGACTGAGTTTTTATGACCCTGCATGGCGCATTGCAGCAACGAATGCTGAACAGTTTATGTTTTACCCTTTTCATAGAGGGGACATACGCACCATTTCGTCTCCGAATAGACAAGTACCCGATCGTCAGTGATGTGAACACATCTAGAGATGACAGCCACCGTGCCTTGACCGGGTTGCTCATACTGTAGCCAGTCGGCTGTAACAGTAAGGGAGTCGTATTCTCCACGAATCCAACTCGGAAACTGACATGGTGAGATGACACGCTCCGATTGCACTGAAGAATTTTATAAATCATCTAGATAAAGATGAATATTCAAGCGATTTTTTGAAATTTAAAAATCCTTTGAATATTACTCCACCTGGCTTTAATTTATATGTCTCAAAGGCGCCGTTCTCGGTGAGTGAGTCACATAAAGAGTCCCGCGAGAAGTATATGGAAAGAATTTGATCTGGTGACGACGATAATAGCTGAACGAGTCAATCTTAGGGAAAAGCCAATTTCAGGTTGTTGTAATTAAACGTCACTGTAATTCTTTACCCCACAGCGGTATTCCTCACTCTCCTCATTGGCCACTACAATGTAGCGTGAGTCATTGGTCCCTCGAAAAGAACCGATGCATTTGAGTGACATATCTGAAAACATAAAAAGAGTAAGGAATATGGATTCGGCGTGATCAATCGCTTTTGGTATACGCCACGCATTCTATTTCCTTTCCGAGTGTAGTGGTATCTTGAATTCAATTTGAATTCAATTCAATACAATAACGAGAAACGGGGTTGCCTGTGTACAGGTCAGTGTTTATAGAAGTCTGATACCAATCACCGACTGCGGAAGGATGGATGGTCGGATTGGTCTAGGCGCCGTACGATCCAGGATTTGATTCCCAGACCCTGCACGTGTAAGCAGCACGACAAGCCATCACAGCACTTCGTTGTTCATTCTCTATTTGTTTCAAAAGTGAAGGGATTTAAACTTTTGAACTTCACGCGGTCCGTGGATGGTACCCTACAAGGGCCGTCACACATTAGCATTTGGGTCACTCCATTTGGGTCCTACAGCTGTGTGGAGATGAGGAGAAGTTCATGGACATCCTTCAACCATATATGGGTTGAATGCAAATTGCCATTCTCTTGCGTACGACGAGGAATTGAATTCAAAATAAGTGGGGCATGCCAGAAAAAAAAGCTTTATACTCAGGGATGGTTTCTGAAGCGGACTCGACGCACATCAGAAGAAAACCAATACCAAGCAATTTTCAGGGAAACTTACCGAAATCTGGGAATGAGCAGTTGCGAAACTTCACTGCTAAAACGCTCGATGAGAGGCAGTTTTGAACCTGCATGGAACAAAATTTGTAATAAACAGAAATCGACTTTTCAAGCCTTGTACAGATGAAGTCATCCAGATCGTTGCGAGCGTTGTTAATTTTGAAAAAGTCTCACTTCACTTCCTGAGTCCATTTCGCAGTTCAGTTCGGCACCTTTCAGATTGTAATCGAGTGCAAAGCGTCCGTCAACATGACACACTGCAGGTTCAGCATTTGCTTCTGAAATGAGTTTCTGAAGTTGGTAAAAGTCGCGTGTGGCTTGCTTAACCCATAAAAGATCCGTTTGCCGCTTTTACGCGGCACTGGAAGAACTCACTGAAGACTGTTGTGCCATCTTTGAGGGATACCTGAGTTGCATCGAAGCACGTCGACTTCGCCTCGCTGACGGTCTCGTAGCAAATTTCTTCTGAAAATGCCGAACCCAATATGAAATGGCGTCCTCTACGGCTAAACCTAGGAGGGGGGTGGGGCAGGAAGTTCGGAGAAAATGAAAACTGCCAATGCAGTTCAGAGTATCTCGTCCCCGCCAAGGTTTAGTCCCGCTTTCGACAAAAAGAAAATCTTTAACGTCGTTTCAAATGCGCTGTCACAACAATGCCCCGCATCCTGCGATAGCACCGGGCTTTTGCAACAACGCATGAAGTAACGTTCCACTAGACAGATACTTCCTTTTATAACTGTGGATTTGAGTAGACAAAAGTAGTTGGAAACGTTATGAGAAACTGAAAACCTTGCTGATGTGCCAGCTGTAGAACGTTTGGCGCTCGTAGTATTGGCGTTACGCAGCGATAACATAGAGGTCGTCCCATCCTTCTGAAACGAATACCGAATACAGAGAAATGTCCTAGAAGGAGAGTTGCAGAAGAAGCTGCTCAAACGTTAACGAGAGTACGATTTATTGCTCCAGTGCCCCTTTGAATTTTGTAAATGTGAGCTGCATAAAAATTCAAAGCCCACATGAGGTTTCTGCAAATGTCTGTGCTAGAAATTAACCCACTCAAAAAAATCTAACTCCGTTGTGTTCATCTTGAAGTTGGAAGAACGCGCTTTGGCGCTCATGTCTTTGGGTCGGGGTGGCGGGAAGAAGGTTCGTGCATTAATGATGGGCCATTTATAACACTTGAACAAAGCCTCACGGATCGAAGGGCTCCTGAAAAAGATAGCAATCTCTTTTCCTCTCTGACGTTCTTTCTCTCCATTTAAGCTTGTCCCAAATCGCAGTTCCTTACGCTCCCTTTTTTTGCCCCTCCCCCCCCCAGGATCAACCGTATGTTGAGACCGATATTGGAGCGACGTGGACCGCATGTTGACCGTCTCTCCGCGCAGCATTCACTCCTCATCCACCCCGCGAGCCGTCTGTGTCTCCGTGCGTACGTTCACTTCTCGCATTACTCTCGTCGTCAGCGATTGTACTTGTCAACGCCAGTTACTCCCTGCCCCCATCCCACCCTTCAGCGCCACACTCCACACCACATTCCACTCAAAGGCAACAATCACGTATTAGAAATGAAATGATAGGATATATTCACCCTAGTTGAAGAGGACCGGTCGAACCGACTGCTGAGGTGGCGGCTGACTCGCATTGCAACCCGAAAAGGTGCTCGTCGCCACTAACAGGGCCATTCTTGGCGCGGTCGGCGTAGGTACGCCCTACCGACTATATCTTTGGCTGATCCATAATTCTGCCGAATTTCGCCCGCTTTCAATTTCACTTGACAGTTTTTCTTTCCTGAGAATAAACTGATGCAGCAAATACTAACACCGCGCAATCGCTGAATACGCATATCATTTGCTAGAAGCGAGTGGAGCATCCTCTCTCAGAACGAGTGTAGCTAGGGATAAACTTCGAGAGGTCGTTTTTAGGTGATTGTATTCAGCACCCCCTTCTCTCGGAGTACTGCTGCAGGCACGAGAGAGATATGCGCCCGAAGAAATTAGGCGATACGATAGAATGTATCCGCGATCCTGCTAGTCTCCTTCAGAAGGTGCGATAAATCTTCGCATTGTGACGGTCGGGCCGTTCATCCGAGAAAGGAGATTTGAGACGTTCCGAATGTTCTCTTCGCACTGCTGTGCGGCCAACCTCGGTAGTTATTTCATAGGTTTATCTTCGCAGTGGTTGTCTAGATAAATGAAGCACTTCTCAACTGAATACACCGACCAATCTACAAATTGGCGAATATTCTCCGTGCCGAGACAGGTCAGGCTTTTGGGTGAGATGGTGGTCAGGCCTTGCGAAGATAGCCATAAGGCGTGCCGTCGTGTTGTGATCGTAGTGAACTGTACCGACTCATCTCCACTGTGGACTCGCGACTAGGGTAAAATCCAGTATTACCTACGCAGAATGCAAATTTCTGCAGATGCAGTCTGCTTCTCGTTCATTTTCAGAGTTGCATGCGTTCCATGGAAACTAATTCGGCTTCATCCGTTTCATTCAGGGACAGCTCGGTGATGCATCGCTGTGCCAGGTATCTTACAAATTGTCCACTCGTCGATAGCGTCCGGGTGACTCCGATTCCCCAGCGCAATGGATCCTCATCGAAATGACGGGCTTAGAATGACGTAAACCTTCGAGCTTGTATGCCCATTGCCGACTCGCTTCCAAGCCAACAGACCAGTGCCCGATCAGTAGCAAAGACTATGAAACACAGCACTGTTTCTTGCCTAACTGCACTCCTTGCAATGTTTTTCTTTAAATGATCGTTAAGCATAATGCCTGCTTTGGTGTGATACATTTCGATCCCTACTTAACCGATCCACTTGCCTCTTGACCTTACTGGAACATCCTAGTTTAAAAGGTACTGATCCTCCTTCACATCAACTTATTTGCGTAATGACATAATTGACATGAAAAAAATTGATTCTAAAAAATTCGTCAGAATACGGATCAACCCAATAATCACTCCCGATGCCATAATGCGGCGAGTGCCTTAGATAGCAAGGAGCGTAGATGTGTGAAGGGTGCAAATGAGAGTTCACATCAATGGTCAAATGCACACTGAACATAACGGGTCCCCATTTCTCGGTTCTGGGTCTTTCCAGGCTTTTCCTCCCTTTGTGTACCACTCACCATTCCTGAGTTAATTTGAAACAAGTGCTTTTCCATCGTGAACTCTGCCTTTGATTGCACTTACGACTAGATACAAAACATAATCTCGCGGCAAATTTAGAACACGTGCTGTTGTTGGAAATATTGGCTAATGGAGCTGAAATCAACTTGTTTTGTCTCGGTACGCGCCTCATTCTCGACTTTCACTTGAATTGGCGAAGGTATTGAGGAGTGTACGTCTGTGCATCTGTTCACTGGTGCAATTCTTTACACAATGTACACTAGATAGGCCAGAAATATAACTATGGAATAACGTCAACACTGTACTACTCCTTGTTCACTTCGTTTTCTTTGTCACTCACTTTTTTGATACTAAACTTACGGGTTGAGACTAGATCCTCAGTGAAATAGTCTTCATGAATGAGGTTCCGTACCATAAGCACAAGGATCGTGGCGGTATAACAGCTTCAAAGTGCGCGACAAGGGAACAAGGGAGATAATGCCTTCTCTTGACCGCTGCTAGCGCTGAAATCCTTATCAATCGCAGTAACGTGGTGTTTGCACCCTGTCGCGTCCAACGTGCTCTCTCGATTTCCGCTCATTGCAGTGCTGTCTCTCTGCTCTACCACGGCATATTTCTCGAGGCAATTCAAGTGCTGAAAGGAATCTCCCACGGAAAAAAACATCGCCTCCATTCCTACAAAAACACGATACCTTAGTCCCCTTGCTTCATGAAGATAGCAAAAAGAACGGAACATAAGCGATGGTTTTGACAATAATAATGATAATCAGTTTGACTATGAAAATTTTGAATTCCCGCTGTAAAACTTCCACAGCTGTTAGCGGCGTGGAGTCAACACGTGCAAACGTGTCAAAAGCGTGAACGTGTACTGGATTCATGTTGGGCCCTTCCATAAATTGACGCGTGGATCCGTACCTGCCACGCACTTCGTCACAGAAGCACTTCCGGTCCCGCCTAGTGGTCCAATCCGGTCCCACAGATGGGTCTTTCCATGGGCTGTTTCTCTTGGTGGTTTTATCATTTTCACTCCGAAGTTTGCATATGGTCTTCAACAACCATGCCCAACACCTGTACACAAGGAAAGGATAAGAAATCTTCCCGTGGAAGATTCTGTAACGAAAAAATCAAAACAATTCAGCGGATTCGGGACCGGCTGTTAGCAATTCATTGG